TCACAGGACAGCGCCTCGAAGGAGCAGCGCTGGATGGAAGAGCCGTTGGCGCCATCAAAGGCAGGACGACTGCACGGCTCAGGGTGCCTATGCGACCACAGGAAGAGACGGCATGTCTGCGACCGTCTGTGCGCCCAGTGGCGGGTGTCGTGTGCTGAGGGCACCCTCGCCAGGACGTGGCTGAGCTCGAGGGCAGACCTCCAGCCCTGGGCAGCTTCCCCGGCTCCGGCAGTTCCAGGCAGCGGTGCGGATGCCAGCCTGCTTCTTGGTCGGCGTTGACAGTAGCGTTGGGTGCCCCCCTGTGACCCCAGGGCGCAGGAAACGTCAGAGGTCGGGGCGAGGGTGGCGTGTTTTCAGACCTGACCGTGCACAGCTCCGTGCAGGGGCCGGCGGCCTTCCCGTCGGGCTACTCACACCTGCGTGGTCAGCCGGGGCTCCCGGATCTCACCTGCGATGCCTGGGGCGGAGGCCACGAGCTGAAGCCCGGGCCGGCGGCGCTCCATGGTTGGAACTTTGTTTACTTGCTGTTAATTGTATAAAGGTTTTCCTGCTTGGGTGAGAGGGTCAGGTGAGTTACTGCACAGGTTGCTCAGCAGGTCCCGCTGGCTGCCGACGGCGTGAAAGCCGGGGTCGTGGCCCACCGGCGCGGCCTCCGGGCTCCTAAGGGGGTCTCCGCTGCTGCATGTGGGCGAGGGGTCCAAGCCAGGCCTGGGCTGTACACACGCCCTCAAGCGTCCATGCACAGTGACCACGCGAGGGCCTCGCTGAGGCTCGGGTGTGTCTGCCTGCTGTCGGGCTCAGGGCATGGGCTGCGGCAGGAGGCCCGTTGGGCACGCCCACAGACCTCACCTTGGCGCTCTGAGAGAAAGACTTTTCCTGTGCCTGCTCCCGGGGGCTGGAGGGGACTCAGGATCCCTTCTAGCAGAGTGAGGACCCCTCCCTGGGAGCTGTGAGGGCTGCAGTTGGGTTTGATCCCCTAACAGAGGGACAAACTCTTCGTTTCACAGTGAAGTGTTTATGTAAGTTTCCACTGAGGACCCTACGCTCCGTCCCAGGACAGACCTGATCCACAGCGTGCACACACCCATGCACACACACACCTGCACACACACAGCCATGCACACCTGCACACACAAGCATACACACAAGTGCACACACACCCATGCACACATCCGCGCACACACATACACAAGCACCCATGCACACACGCACATACCTGCACACACGCCTGTGCACACATGCACCCATGCACACACACCTGCACACCCCCCGTGCACGCACACACACACACCCGTGCATGCACTCTCACAAACACACTCGTGCGCACACACCTGTGCACACATGCACCCATGCACACACACCTGCACACACACACACACCCGTGCATGCACACACACAAACATACCCGCGCGCACACACCTGTGCACGCACACACGCACACCTGCACACACAAACCCCCCCCCCCACACACACACATCCATGCACAGCTGCAATGGTTTCTCCTTCCCCTGAACTTTGGGTTTCGCCTCTCTCGGGAGCCTTCTGTTGCTTTCCTGTTGCTGGTGGTCTTGCCTGTGTGGCCCCCCGAGGGCAGGTACATCAAAGGCCCTGTCAAGCATTCCTGAATGACTGAGACGGGGTGAATGAATTCTGGCCGGGTGAAGCATCGAGGCTGGAGAAATTGGGACCGGCCCAGGTTCGTGAGTCCTGGGCTGGGCCGAGGGCCAGCTCGTCCTGCCTCTGCTGCCTTGGCCCAGGGACAGCACACCAGTTACCCTGCCTTTCCAAGAACTCGCTCCCCTTTCTTGCTCTGAATCTGGCGGCTGGCGTTGGTGAGGACTGACCCAGTGGGTGCACCTGCTCGGGGCACCACGGTGGCAGGTCCCACAGAGGATCTGCGATGACCACCTGGGCGGCCCCGCCGTGCAGCGGGCTCCGCTGGCTCAAGGGCCAGGGGCGTCTTGGTAAGCTGGGGCTCTGCGGAAACCCTGGCCCTCCCATGGATCCCAGGGAGGCGGGGCTGCTGGTCGCCGCCTCCTGGTGCCCGCGGGCGCACGGACTCAAAGGGCTGGTGGTGGGCATCTCCTCTGGTCACTTCAGGGCTCCTAGGTGGTCCCAGAGGCCCTGGGCTCTGAGGCATTCTGGCGGTGGGTGCTCATGGACTTGTGCGAAGCAGAGCGTGGGGCCCCCCAGGTCGGGGCTGCCTCCTTCGCGGGCTGTGTAACAAGGTCTGTCCGCTCACCCCCTCGGCCAGCTGCAGTGAGCCTGCTGCTCCAGCCCTGAGGCTGCCTGGGGGCCCGGCAGACGGCACCCTGCCCTCAGGGAGGAGCACGTCAGGGAGGGCAGAGGCTGGGGCGTCGCCACGACCAGGGGGCACAGAGCCTTGTGAGCGGGGCTGTGGGAACCCTGACCTGTGCCAGGGGGAGAGGCCGACTGGCCTTTGCATGTTCTAGAACATTCTGTGCCAACTATGGCATTTGGCGGACAGTTGCTTAAAGGGGATTTTAAAAAGCTCTGTTGATTGAAAAATATTTCTATCAGTGAAAGAACTGGATACCCAGATCTCACGTGAACACGCCCCTCAGTCACTATTTGGCGGGGGGGTCTTCCCCGACCCAGCCTGGTTCGCAGTGTCGCGGGGTCGCGCTTTCAACCTCTCTGCCCTCCTCTGGACTGGCCGCCACCTGAACATAGCCCGTCTTCCTGGACTTCTGTCTTCTGAGCCAGCCAACTGGGCAGCCTTGGCAGCTGGCCAGCCGTGCTGGCTTCTGACCTTCCGAACTTCCCCGAACTGTGGGGTAGAGTTCTCAGCACTCCCGAGTGGCTTCAGGGTTGGGACACCTGTTTGCTCAGGAGAGGAGCCAGTGTGGCTGGCGGGGCCTTGCAGGTGGGCAGAGGGCTCGGGACCTGGCCCTGGGGGCTGCTGGAGGCCCTGCCCGGAGACCTCTGCCCCGGTAGCTCTGTGCCCTGGCCTGTCTCTCCGTGGGGGCCGGTGGGCGTCCGGAGTGCTGGGCTGGCCAGTCATGTCTTCATGCCAGCCGCAGGACCTGGCACACAGGGGGTCTCAGCAACTTTGCTGAGTGAGTGGGAGAATCTCCATGAGAAATTACTCCTTTCTGACCACTCTCCAAAATGGGCCATTAAAAAAAAAAATCGACTGCCACCAGAAACAAAAAGGAAAGACGATAAATTGGAAGGTTTTTTTTCACCGCAGGGATCCCTGTGCCCGTGTGTGTGCATGGGGACAGTGTCCCGACATGGTCAGTCATGGACACAGAGGGCCTGCCCCACAGCCACACATTCTCACTGTCCTGGAAACGGTCACCTGCCTGTGTCCTCCACTCCTGGGCACGGTGCATGCCTGGCCTGCCCTCTCTCCGGGGAACTCAGGTCCTGTTGGGAACCCTCCACACTACGCCCTCTGCCTGGCAGGAGGGCCGGCCCCAGCGGCACTGAATGTGCTTTGGCCACACTTGAGCTCTGTCCCCAAGGTCCCCCTGGGGAATTGCTTGGCCCGGGAATCAGTCTGGGCTGGGGTTAAGTGTTGCTCCTGACCCACCTGCCCGGCTGGGACACCAAACACCGGGGTACGAAAAGGACAGATGTGTAGCGTGGTTGCCACGGCGGGAGGTGGATTTGGGTTCCTTCCGGGGGGAGGCAGCTATAGAACTCCAAGGATCCCGGGCGTGGGTTCCACACACTGTGATGTGGAGGGTGGGCTCCCTGTGCCCACCAGGAAAGCCTGGCTTTGGGTTCTGCACAGGCTGCAGGGAGGCCGTAAGGACTGTTCGAGACCATTATGCAGACCGGCTCGGCGTGTTCGTGTTTAGCAAACAGCTTTGAGTTCTGAGCGTCTGCAAAGCTCGTTCTGCAGACTCCATTTGTACTCATTACTGTGTATTGGGAAAGTTATTTAAAACACTCAGACTTGGTGAGAGTTCCCATGGCATCGTCCCTGGACGTTCATTGGTCTTCATCTACTTCTTTAAGAGATCTCCTGGAGCCAATGTAAGTCCCAGCCTTGGCTATCATGCCCATCGAAGGACGGGAGCGAGCCCTTCCCTGGTGGAAATCCTCACCCCCGCCCACATTTGAACCACCTGGGCAACCCCCTGCGATTCTGTCAGGAGATCATTCACACCTCTTCTGATGGAAACAGTCACCAAATGACAAAACGACTGTTTCGTAACATAAGGGTTAAATCTTAATCTCTGAGGTTTGCAAAGCTACTACTCGCAGTCTCCTTAAAATTTAATATACCTCGTTAATGCTTCCTTGCAAACACTGAACGATTTTTATGATTATAATCATGTGTTACAGCACCTAGGACTGTTTCTAAGCAGCATACTAATCAGCTTAATGAGATATTACTGCACTTTTTGTTGACTAAAGCAAAATCCCTTTTATTGTTCTAAAGCCTGTCCATTACTTATTTTTTCCCAAAACATTATCTTGTTTTATTATGTATCAGTAAATATCATGCCTTTGGTTTTTTTGTTTTTTGTTTTGGCCAAAACATAAAATAACCTCTTCCCTCTCAGAGTGGCAAATGTCTTGGACACTTGAACCAGACGCAAAGTTCCAAGTGAGTGCACTTGGTGTGTTAGCCAAAGCCATTCTGCTACAAGGCCGACTCTGAACCAAACCAACAGGTGCGGGTGCCACCAGGTGGGGGGGGGGGCTTACCACACATGCCCCCCAATTTGGTATTAGGCGTGGAACGTGGTAAAACATTAATAATTTAAGTGTGAATGAGTAATTGCCGTCAGTAAATAGAAAGTACAAGGAAGACGATCTATCGCCAAAACAAATGGGAGGACCAAAGCCACATTGCATAATTGGCATTTAATAATTCATCGTTTTATTATTGTTTTCGACTGTAATTCCTTAGCGTGATCCTGGGTAGGTAAGGCCAGAAATGCAAATGCCCGGCCGGCGGAAGCGGCCGCTTCACCGTGCCTGGTTCGGGGCCCAGATCTGAACTCTCTCTCCGTTTTCAGGGATGGAAGAAGCCAGCCTGTGCCTTGGAGTGTCCTCTGCCGCGGCCGAAGCGGAGCCCCGCCTGAGCAGCCCCGTCCTCAACGGCCAGTATGCCATGAGCCAGAAGCTGCACCACATCACCTCGCAGCTCAGCCATGCCTTCCCCGAGCTGCACCCGCGGCCCGGCCCCGAGGACAAGCCCGCGGCGCCCCTCGACGACCCGGCGCACGGGCCCCTGAGCGGCCAGCCCCTGGGCAGCCAGATGGCGCTGCTGGCCAGCCAGCTGGGCCGGGACGTCGACACCAGCCTCAACGGGCGCGTGGACCTGCAGCAGTTCCTCAACGGGCAGAACCTGGGCATCATGTCGCAGATGAGCGACATCGAGGACGACGCGCGCAAGAACCGCAAGTACCCCTGCCCGCTGTGCGGCAAGCGCTTCCGCTTCAACAGCATCCTGTCCCTGCACATGCGCACGCACACGGGCGAGAAGCCCTTCAAGTGCCCCTACTGCGACCACCGGGCGGCGCAGAAGGGCAACCTCAAGATCCACCTGCGGACCCACAAGCTGGGCAACCTGGGCAAGGGGCGCGGGCGCGTGCGCGAGGAGAACCGCCTGCTGCACGAGCTGGAGGAGCGCGCCATCCTGCGCGACAAGCAGCTGCGCAGCAGCCTGCTGCCCCCGCGGCCGGACCTGAAGCCGCCGCCGCACGCGCATGCGCACGCGCACGCGCATGCGCCGCCCGCGCCGCCCGCCGCCAGCCACCTGGCGCCGCCCGCGCCGCCCGGAGGAGGCGCGCCCGACGCCGCGCGCCCGGCGCCCTCGCCGAAGCCCGCGGGCGCGCAGGACGAGGCGGCGGCGCCGGCCGCCGGCTTCCGCTGCACCTTCTGCAAGGGCAAGTTCAAGAAGCGCGAGGAGCTGGAGCGCCACATCCGCATCCTGCACAAGCCCTACAAGTGCACCCTGTGCGACTTCGCGGCCTCGCAGGAGGAGGAGCTCATCAGCCACGTGGAGAAGGCGCACATCACGGCCGAGTCGGCGCAGGGCCAGGGCCCGAGCGGCGGCGGCGAGCAGGCGGCCAGCGAGTTCCGCTGCGAGGTGTGCGGCCAGGTGTTCAGCCAGGCCTGGTTCCTCAAGGGCCACATGCGCAAGCACAAGGACTCGTTCGAGCACTGCTGCCAGGTGTGCGGCCGGCGCTTCAAGGAGCCCTGGTTCCTCAAGAACCACATGAAGGTGCACCTCAACAAGCTGGCGGCCAAGAGCAAGGCCCCCGGCGACCCCGACGGGCCCGCGCCGCTGGGCGCCATGGCGCAGGAGGCGCACGCCAACCTGTACTCCCGCTACCTGTCCTGCCTGCAGGGCGGCTTCGTGGCCCCAGACAAGGCCGGCCTGGGCGAGCCCGGCCAGCTCTACGGCAAGGGGGAGCTGCCCCTGAAGGAGAAGGAGGTCCTGGGGAAGCTGCTGTCGCCCCTCTCCGGCGTGGCCCACGGTGGCGTCCCCGAGGGTGACAAGCACTCCCTCCTGGGCTGCCTCAACTTGGTGCCGCCGCTGAAGTCCAGCTGCATCGAGCGGCTGCAGGCTGCGGCCAAGGCGGCCGAGATGGACCCGGCCAGCAGCTACCCAGCCTGGCAGCTCATGGCCAGGGGCATGGCGGTGGAGCACGGCTTCCTGTCTAAAGAGCACCCTCTGCCCCGCGGCCAGGAGGACCTGCTGGCGCACACGGGAGTCGTGTTCGATAAGGAGAAGCGCGAGTACGTGCTAGTGGGAGCAGATGGCTTGAAGCAGAAAATGCCTGCGGATCTGCTCTCCAGCGCCAAAGTGGGCAGTCAGAGAGACCTGCCGGCCAAGCTCGAGCCGGTGGACGGCAGTCGGGAGTTCCTGTCCCACGGGCTCAGCCAGGCGCTGGACTACAACCTGCAGGGCCCAGGGAGCGGCAAGGACAAGCCCACGGAGTGCCCCGACTGCGGCCGGGTGTTCCGCACCTACCACCAGGTGGTGGTGCACTCCCGCGTGCACAAGCGGGACCGCAGGGCGGAGGAGGACGGGCTGCACGCCGGCTTGGAGGAGCGGCGCGGCTCGGGCAGTGACCAGGAGTCCCAGTCCGTGAGCCGCTCGACCACGCCCGGCTCCTCCAACGTCACCGAGGAGAGTGGGGTCGGCGGTGGCCTGTCCCAGACCGGGAGCGCCCAGGAGGACAGCCCGCACCCCTCCTCGCCATCCTCCTCAGGTAGGTTGCCAGGGTGGACGGGGGAGGAGCGGCTGGCAAGGGCCCTGCCTGCCCAGGTACTGGCTTCTGCTCAGGCCTCGTGGGGGGAGGGCTTTTGCTGCACTTTGAGGTCTGAGGGCACGTGTCCGGTTGGCCCATGAGGACCTTTCTCCTCCCTGGACAGAAGGCTGTCATTCCCTCGGCTGGCTGCCCTTCCCTTGAGCACTGGCCCCCAGGGAAGTCGGTTGACCCTCCTCCCGTGTGGTAGGGTGGCAGGTGGGCACGCTTGCCCGTGGGGCAGACGTCTCCCTGTAACTGCCTGCCTGTGCCACGTCATGCCCAGCCCTGCTGGCCAGCCCTCCTCTCCAGAACCTAGGAGCTGCTTCCCTCTCCACCCGTGGATGTGAAGGTGTAAGTCCGGACCCTCGCAGTCTTTCCCGAGTCCGTTCTCATGGTCCTCTCCGCTGGGCGCCCCCAGTCTCCCTCCCCAGACCAAGCCTGCGCGGGTTCCCTTCCAAAATTACAGCGTGGCTCACCGGCCGGGCTCCTCTGCCGGTTGGGAAGGCGCCGAGGTCTGAGACACAGATGCGTGACTGCGTGTCTGAAAATGTGCTGTGTACCACAGGCGACACAGCTTTGGGGTCTAAAATAGCAAAGCAGAAAATCTGTCATCAAAATGTCTGTGAAGCGCTGAAGCTCCCTGGCCCCGTTGGAAAAAACAAAAAACAACAACAACAAAGAGCCCGCCAGCCTGAGACGGCTGGTACCCCGCGCAGCTTCCGAGCAGCAGGTGAGCTGCTGCCCCGTCCCGGCGTCCAGAGCCCCTTCCCCGTGGAGAGCGAGTTGAAAGTTCTGGCTCGAGCCCTTTCTAAAGAAAGCATCTCGCTAATGCCCTCGTCATTCCACAGCCTAACAACAGAGGAAGTCGTGCTATAACAAATACCCTGTTACTAATGGCAACATCGATTTCTGCAATCAGCCATTAAGTCTCGAAAGTGAAAGACGGTTTGAGGCACCTCCAGGCCCCGCACTGCCCACAGTGGCAGCGCCCCGCGGAGGCTGCTGTGACCAAAGTTTGTCTTCCCCTCCCCTCCCCCGCTCTGGGCTCCGATGCCTATCTCAGCTTTGGAGGCCGGTCGGCGCTCCGGTTATTAACTGGATGCCAGTCCTGCCCCGTTGTTGTGGTCATGCTTCAGCACACCCTTCTTCTAGGGCACGACTAGTATGAAAATAAAGTGAGAGCCTGCCGGCTTATTACAGACCAGTGAAGAATTGTTAAGACCCATAAATCTGAGCTGCACATTCCAGGGATTCCGATGGCACTTAATGCCGCTGCTTAAATATCCATGAGACACAGTGTCTGCTCCGGAGCCCTAGACTTGTGCGTGATTTATTTCCAGTGGGAACTCCGGGGGAGTCTGAGCGGGACTGCGAGGGCCTGGGTGGGCCGGGCCGTGCTGGGAGTGACCACGGCCGGGACGGAGGAGATGCAGGGCAGCGAGTTCAAGTCTCGCAGCCGCGGCAGGAACCCGGTGAAAATGGGCCTCTGGTGCGGAGGCAGCGCAGTGCCAGGTGTCCCCTGTCACTAGAGACAGTGTCTGACCTTTGAGGAAGAGGCCCCCCATCCTGGGGACTGTGGTCTCCCTGTTTTGGGGCTCGGGGATCTTTCGGAGGCAGAGCTCAGACCGGCTCTCCTGAATTCGCTGCGTGAACGCCGACAGATTTCCGCCCCTCCCCAGCCCTGCTGAGACACAGAGGGGTCCGCACACTATTCCAACACCAACTGTTCTGCGCGCCTCGTGACGTGTTCCCCGCGTTCTTCCCACCTTCTGGCCGAGTGATAGCCCCGTGCTATTCCTGTCTGCTGTTTCCGAGTCTCTGGAAAAAACCACTTTGCCTGAAAGAACCCACCGGGCTGGGGACGCGAAGGAGAGTCCGCCCCGAGCCGAGGTTACCTTCTTATTTGTTTTCCTCGTTGAAATAGGTCGTAGTTGTGAAGACTGATTGTTTATTGCTGGTGGATCTCTTTGTTTTCTTCTTATTCAGATGAGAGCCGTTCACAGTGTCTGGCTAAGTGGTGACGTGGACAGGCCCACCGGGCACACGGCCGAGCCTGGGCACGGCGGGGGCGCGCGGACTTGCCTGGGATCCGACCCTTCGCCGACTCTGCTCCCTCTTCCCTCTTCCCCCCAACAAGCATGACTTGTGCAAAACGCGATTACAATAAGCATTTAAATACAATCTTTGACACAATGGGTATTTTATTATTACCTGTGAGAGAGAAACCTGCAAGGTGAAGGGGAGAAAAAAAAACCCCTTTAAGCCCTTAAGTAAAGAAAGAAGCACTTATTAAGGCCTCTGTTAAGAAATGACGGCACACCACGGTTCCGCGCGCTTCTCACTGCATAACAATGTCGCAAAACTTAATTTCCATCACTTGATTCTTTTCTTGTTGAAAACTGGGTCAGTAGGGCCTGAGAAACTATTTTTTCAGATCTTAACCAGTGAATTCGTCTTTATAAATCGCTGCTCTTAACATGATAGTAGTTCTGAATCCATCATAAAAACCCTTTTTACAGAGAGCCTCTTAGAACAGATCTCCAGAAGAAAGCTCACAATGAGTGCCGAAGGCTCCCTTTGTTATCCGATGTAATTCTTTGCGAGCACTGGGAACCGAGTGGCTGTTTAAAAATGTCTTGCTCAGACCGAGACGAAGAGAGGGTCAAGTTTGCAATCAAACAGTTATTGCCGAGATGGGCGACTGTCACCGGCTAGGCTAACGTGGGGTGCAGCTGTTTGTTATGGGAGCAGAAAAGAACGCTTGAATCAGTGAACATGAGAGCCGATGCCAGTGAACCAGAAAATATGTTTGTTCTTGGACTCTCCAGACTGCCGAGGCCCGAGCGCCGGAGCCAGCACCTCTGACAACTGAGAGCTCGGATTTTCTCACCGAGAAGGGACAAGACCGGGCGCTCAGACCTCTTGCCCGGGTCTCCCCCCGTTTCTGTCGTCGTATGTGTGACGTCCCGATACTTTCACACCCCAGCCGATGTCCTTTCTGCCTCCGTGTCCAAGGCAAAGGGAAGTGACTTGGAGGCAGCAGCTTATCAATCCTGCTCTCCGTGACACCGGAAGGGCGGGTGGCAGTTTGATGTCCCCGGGCTGGCGGCTCTCTGCCAAGGCTCTGAGGCTTCTGTCTCAGCATCTTCCTCTAAAATCTCTGCTCAGCCCTGCTGGGATCTGAGCTTCCCTCCAAGTCAGGAGAGGACCCAACTTCCGTGTCCTTAGGTTTTGTTTTGGAGAACCACACTCGGAATAATTAAAACTTAATGTACTAAGAAACGATACCGCTCGTCATCTCCAGCAGGGCAGTTACCTTCGGCAGGGCCCGTACTTTTGGAGAGGGGCTAATTGAAGTGTTGATGGTGGGAAGGGGGTAATTGAATGCGTTGACCTTCTGTTCATTAAATAACGTCGGCTAAGTTCCGTGATCAATTTTAGCCAGGGAGAGACGGAGATGAGAGTGCCGTTGTTAACCCCTGCGGCTGCGGGTGGATGTTTGGAGGTGGACGGGCACTGTCTGAGCAGCTGGACTGGAGCCTGGAGGCTCTTCTGGGTTGGCCGAGCGGCGTCGCGGACATGCCGGCTGCCGTCCCGTGCAGCCCTTTGACCGCAGCCTCCAGGGCCGGCGTCCAGGCCCCTGCACGCCCGTCGGCTAGAGAGTGAGCCGATAGATAGATTTCCCATAGATTCCCCTTCTTTTCCACCTCTTTTTCTCCTGTGGCTCCTCCTCCCTGCCCACCGTCTATACCCCACACACAAATCCAGGCCCCCAAGAAGGGGGGGAGGGGATAAAATTTTTAAGTCTGAGGATTAAGATCTTTTTTTTTTTTTTTTTGCTTGTGCATTCCAATTGTTCTTAAAATATTTGGCAATGTCAATTAGTAACTGAGCAGAGTTAGCTGATGAACACAATTTTCCAGTAGACTGAGCGCCCTATTGTTGCCGAGCGAGCAGCAGATTTCTGAGGTCATTATCATGCGCTGGTTGCTTGGCCCAGCTGCTTCCTGAGGCAGAAGCCAAACTTTCTGCTGGGGCTTGGGGGTGGCGGCAGCAACAGGGGGCTGGGGCCGGCTGCGCCCACTCCGCCACGCTGGGCACGGAGGGCCGTCTCCAGGCCCTTCCCGGGCAGTGCACTCCCGACCGCTCCCTCCAGGTCTCTCTCTGCAGCACCTGCACCTCCGACCGGGATTAAAAGGACCAGGGGACGCCCCCGGGCATGGTGACAGCTCATCGTGATGCCGCGCTGAACTTTGGGAAACAATAATCCCATTTACAAATGTACTTAAAAATTGTTAACCCAATCTGAGGCCAGTAAGCGCCTGCCCATGGATAGGCTTATTCTTGATTTTTATTAAAAACAGAAAGGGGGGGGGGAATCACGTCATTTTTCAATGATAAAATGAGTCACTAGGACTTAGTAAATGGGGGATGACACGCGGGGAGGATTATTTCATTTTCCAGAGGGACCTTCTGAGGAGACAGTGGTCTGAAATGCTGCGTGGAGCCTGGGGGGTGGGGGAGCCCACCCGGGCTCCCTGTCCTGAGTGCTGCCCCCTCCCCCGACCCCGCCGGGGGCCAGTTCCGTAAGATGAAAAGCTACATGATTTTTAAGCTCAGCTGTCACAACCGAGTCCATGAGCCGCCCTTCCGTCCCCACCGACGTGGACATGTGTGGAGTGTTTGTGGACAGCTACGGAGGGGGGTTGGGCTGCTGTCCCAGGCTGGACCCAGGCCGAGACTGGCTGGCTGGCTCCTGGGGAGTGTCAGGTAGGGCCCAGTCGCGGGCCAGGTGACCCCTCTGGTCTGTGGGCGCTCTGCCCACTGGGGCACAGGGCTGTATCTGGGCTGAAGGTGCCCTCAGATGCCAGGTCACACCTTCCTGCAGTCCTGGGAGCCGGGGACCACCCAGCGGCTCTTTCGGAAACTTCCATTTGCTTGGGCACGTTGGTGACTTGTAG